TAGCGCAGATAGCCCTTGTGTAGCTTTGCGCGAAATTCAAAACAAACTGTTTTTAGGCGCATCGCGTTGGTTATATTTATAGCGTGTGGAGGCGTTCTAGAATTTTCATTTTTACGTAACAATACAAATTTAAGCGTTTACGTATGCACATATATTGTTGATTGTTACTCTCGAGAATATTCTACAACTTTGGAGAATAAGCGGGAGTTTCGCAATACATATTTATCGCGATAAGCTATGCATATTTTTAAATATAAATGTAATATAAACAAACATTGATATTAAAATAAATATATAATGACAGATTCGTTACACCAGGCATGTTGTTAGTGCGTATTTTTATAGTGACACCATCAATTTGTTTGTGATTAAGAATATAGCTACACAATGGGTTATCTGTGCTGTGCCCACTCAGTTTTTAGAATTGTAAGCCTTTAGACTTACCGCTGTGCCACTAGGGGAACATCTCGCTAGAAATAAGCCAACACGTTTTCTATTTTGACAAACATCTAGTTAAAAAGAAACTAACACACTTTTTTATTGTCCACTTTCCAGCAAGCAAGAAATCATCATACTTTATTTCTTTTTTATCTTCTAGTAAGATAGAATAAGAATTTTTTTTTTAATTTCATAACCTCTTAATTAGGTTTCATAGGGTTAGAAACATTGACAATAAAGAAATAGCTTTTCTGGATTATTTGAAAATGTACAATTGTTGTTTTTTTCCTGAATAGTTTAATCGTGAACTATGATCGTAGATTGTGTTATATTATGCGATAGACTGGATTAAAAACAAAACAAAAAACTTCACAATGTTGTAGGAAACATGACCGTTTTTACTTAATATACGTATGCTTATTTCTTTTCTTTATTTTGAGCTAAAACCCAGCAAAAATTGTTTCTTTCACGACAATGCCAGCTCGCTTTGAAAGCAGCAAAATAGAAGGCTGAGTGCAAAACAAATGTGCATATAAAAAACTAGGAAATGCAGGTTACTGTTCAATGACTCCATTGCTATAACGAACCATTTGTATGTTTTTCTCTGCATTTTGAGAATTTACTTATTTTATTATTGTAAGGAGTATTAACATAACATGAGCATCATTATGGGCGTTTGCTTATTTATAAGAAAAAACAAACAAACATTTCCTATCTCATTCAATGAATAAGCGATGGTAAAAACAAGAAAGTGTAAGTTACACACATCTCTGGTCATTTATCATTTGTGTTTAATTATAACTATTTGTTCTTGCATATTTTCATACCCAAATTGCTGCCTGCGATACATTGTTGCAATTCTAAAAAAATAATACTTGTTCCAGCATAAAAACATAATGACAACTATTGATCTGATCTAGTAAATCTAGATTAACATTTTTTGTTAAGTGAGCTTTCTTTCATTCAGACTTTCTTGTAATGATTTGACTTCGCCCCATGGCAGGAATTTGTAACCTAAACGGTGCACTTAACTTCTTTTAGAGTATTAATGTATAGGAAGTTTCTGTTGTTTTTGCATCTTTTTTAATAGATCCTCCAAAACAATACTTTCATTTTCGTTTTTACAGACCCAATAAAAATATATTTCTCTCTTTTAATTACACAGGCCTGCGAATTTAAACTTCATAAACGTTGTTTTGGTTTTAATAACAGATTTTCCATGATTCAGCTACGCAGAGTTCGAAAATAATATTCATTTTTTTTTCTATCATATAAGTATTTTTTACAAATCGGGAAGAGAAAACTCTGACTTAGATCACAATTATTATTTCGTTTACCACAATAAAC